AATCTAGTCACCAATGAGGAATAAAACCCCTTAGACTGCAGCGAGGATCGGAGGATCATTTCATCACCAATGAGCCATGCCGCATCAAAGTCACGCTTTGTGACAAAGCACCATACCAGTAGAGCCCTTAGGTGGTTGACGTTGGTAGAGTTGCTCGTGGGCAGGAAGTGGCTGCAAATGATATTGAACCAGCACTTGGCCTCGTGAGTGAAGGACTTGGAGTGGAGGGTGATGTTTTCATGTATCCAAGTTGGTTGGCTATTCTGGCAGATTGCTTCAATCAAGGTATCCCAAATAACTCCATGAGCGTCGTGGTAATGATCAACATCACCCCTGAATTAGGGCAACTGCAAAACCTGCCGAATCTTATGAATGGAAGCATCTACCACCTTGCCACGCACAAATACCTCCCAGGCTAAAATGCTCCGTGTAATTTGAATAGAATTCCCTAACGAGCATTGGATTCACTGTTTCGGGCTCTTCAAAGAAAAATTCCATCTCCCTCCGCCGTATTTCTTCATACATGGCTGGGCTTTCCATGCGGAGGGCAGCCCTATCCACAGCAATCTCCGGGACGAAGGTCTTTGTGGCTTTTGCATGGAATGCATCCTCAGCCCCCGGAGACTGGAACCTAGTTTCATCATATGTGGGCCCATGGGAAGTACTAGCCGAACCTTTGTGCCTCTTTCGTGCCATAATACTTGCAACAAGACAGGGCAACTATCAAATACATCCTGAACTGGGCCATGCGAATGGTTACTCAGACTTCGCCACCCGCAGGCACTAAACAGTTATCATTGGCGAACAATGCCAAAACACCCTATTGCTAAGTGGCCCCAATTACCCAACCCATACTACGATTACTTCACATCCCCATCAACATGGCAACCTTTCCTACTACACCACACCCAACCTTTCATCAGTGAAATATTGCAACCACCACCACCACAACCAATTACAATGAGCACAAAGTGCTCCAAAAATTACAACAAATCCCAATTTTTCGGCCATATAGGCCCAACCACTGCACTTTGCCCTAAAAATGATAGTTAGGTCTCAAAAAACACTACAAATCCCTCCCCACAAGTTAATCATCATGAAACCCAACATCTAAGAATCCACCATGGCTAAAATAATCAATTAAAAAGAGAAAACAAAGAAAAAGAGACAAGTTATATATTACAACAAAATCTAGGGTTAAGAAACTAATTTACACTAACTAGTTGAAGAAAAGAAAAGAGGAAAGAAGAAAGCATACCTTGTAGATGAGATGAGAGAGTTGAAGAAGAAGAAATTTGGGGAAGAATGGGTTAGGGCTTGGGTTGGAAGAAGAAGAGAGTGAAGAAGATGGGAGAATAGAGAGAAAGGGGGGTGAGGGTCGTGTGGTTGGAGTGGGGAATAAGGGGTTGGATGTTTGGATAAGGGTAATTAAAATTGGGGGGGGGGGGGCGGGGTAAGAAATTAGAAGAAATAATAAAAAAAATTCAGTTACTTACCTGACTGGGCCCGTCGCTGGGCTACCGCGGTCCTACCGCGGTCACGCTTGGACCGCGGTGGGAAAACTTCAGAGAGCCTATTTCACCGCGGTCTCACCGCGGCCACGCTTGGACCGCGGTGGGAAAACTTCAGAGAGCCTCTTTCACCGCGGTCTCACCGTGGTCACGCTTGGACCGCGGTGGAGGCATTTTTCTGGTACTCTTTTTTTTTGTTTATATATATACAGTTATACATTACACTTACAACAATTCGTGGGTTGCCTCCCACGCAGCGCCTGATTTAACGTCGCGGCACGACGCAAATAGTGGAGTTCCTACTCCTCGTTTTCGTATTGGGGTTCTTTGAAATGTGACACCACTGTATCCCCTTTTTCGTCAGCTAATCCAAGGTAGTGTTTCAACCTTTTTCCATTGACGGAGAATTTGTTCGTCCCGTCTTTTGATTCAATCTCCACAGCTCCACTAGCAAACATTTGCACCACTCGGAATGGCCCTGACCATCGGGATTTCAACTTACCCGGAAACAATCTCAACCTTGAGTTGTACAATAACACCATATCACCGGGTTTGAAGTCTCTGTCCACGATGTGTTTATCACGCATTTTCTTCATCCGTTCCTTGTAAAGCCTCGTGCTCTCAAAGGCTTGATACCGAAATTCCTCTAGCTCGTGCAGCTCCGTTAGTCGATTTTGTCCGGCTGCTTCGGGATCCATGTTTAATTGTTTTAATGCCCACCAAGCACGGTGTTCTAACTCCACAGGTAGATGACAGGCCTTTCCAAACACCAACTTGTATGGTGACATACCTATTGGCATTTTGAATGCAGTTCTGTAGGCCCAGAGTGCGTCGTCCGGCTTCTTTGCCCAATCCGTTCGGGTTGCGTTCATAGTTTTTGTTAATACACTCTTAATCTCCGTGTTGGACACTTCAACTTGTCCACTAGTCTGCAGATGGTAGGGCGTAGGCACTTTGTGGTGCACATCATATTTAGCCAGCAATTTCTCGAAGGCTCTATTGCAGAAGTGAGTGCCTCCATCACTGATGATCGCCCTTGGTATCCCAAACCGGGTGAATATGTGCTTCTTCAGGAATCCGACCACCACTTCTGCATCATTGGTGGGCAAGGCTGCAGCTTCTACCCATTTAGACACATAATCCACCGCCACAAGTATGTACTTATTACCGAAGGAGCTGACAAAGGGACCCATGAAGACTATCCCCCACACGTCAAACACCTCTACTTCTTGAATTGGTTTCATTGGCATCTCATGGTGATGGGAAATGTTTCCCGTCCTTTGGAATTCATTGCAGCCCTTTACCCAGAGGTGTGCATCTCTAAATACAGTTGGCCGGAAGAATCCGGCCTCCAGCACCTTCGCAGCTGTTCTGACCCCTCCAAAGTGTCCTCCATATGCTGAAGCGTGACAAGCCTGCAAGATTGAAGATTGTTCTATCTCGGGGACACACCTCCGGATAATGTTATCAACACAAATTCTAAACAGATGAGGTTCATCCCAATAATACATGCGACTATCACGGAAAAACTTTTTCTTTTGGACAGAAGAAAGGTCATCAGGAACAATACCACAAGCCAGGTAGTTTGCAAAATCTGCATACCATGGTGCATCCTCAAGACTGGCTACGAGCAGTTGCTCCTCTGGAAAGGTTTCCAGAATTTCTTCGACCTCAACTGATTTTTCAGCTCCTTCAAGTCGTGAAAGATGATCAGCGACTTGATTTTCTGTGCCCTTACGGTCATGGATTTCAAGGTCGAATTCTTGCAAAAACAGCACCCAACGAATCAGGTGCGGCTTAGACTCCTTTTTCTCAATGAGGTACCTGAGAGCTACATGGTCAGTATATACAATTACCTTGGAACCAATCAGATATGATCGGAACTTGTCAAAAGCAAACACGACTGCCAACATCTCCTTCTCCGTCACTGTGTAATTGAGTTGTGCACCGCTTAGCGTTCTGCTTGCATAGTAAATCGGGTGCATCAGCTTGTCTTTTCTCTGCCCCAAGACTACTCCTATAGCATAGTCGCTGGCATCACACATCAGTTCAAATGGTTGCTCCCAGTCGGGCGCGACAATGATGGGTGCAGTGGTCAACTTCTTCTTCAGTTCCTCAAATGCCAACCTGCAATCATTAGAAAACACAAAGGGGTGATCCTTTTCAAGGAGTTTGCATAATGGGTTAGCAATTTTGGAAAAGTCTTTTATGAAATGCCGGTAGAACCCGGCGTGACCAAGGAAACTTCTCCCCGCCTTTACTGAAGTGGGCGGTGGTAACTTCTCAATCACATCAAACCTTAGCATTGTCGACCTCAATACCTTTTCTGGACATTCGATGTCCCAAGACTATCCTCTCTCGTACCATGAAATGACACTTCTCCCAGTTTAGTACCAGGTTTGTCTCCACACATCTTTTGAGCACTCTGCTTAAGTTGTGAAGACAGTCTTCGAATGAATCTCCCACCACGGAGAAATCAACCATAAAGACCTCCATAATATCCTCCACCATATCTGTAAAGATGGCTAACATGCACCGTTGAAAAGTCGAAGGTGCATTACAAAGCCCAAAGGGCATTCTCCGAAAGGCAAAGATGCCATACGGGCAGGTGAAGGATGTTTTCTCTCTATCTTCGGGGGCTATTGAAATCTGATTGTACCATAAATATCCATCTAGGAAACAAAAGTGTGATCTACCAGCCAGCCTGTCAAACATTTGATCAATGAAGGGTAAGAGAAAGTGGTCCTTGCGGGTGGCGGTGTTTAATTTCCAGTAATCCATGCAGATTCGCCACCCTGTGACTGTACGAGTTGAGATTAACTCATTGTTGTCGTTTTTCACAACAGTCATACCCCCCTTTTTCGGGACACACTGGATAGGGCTGACCCAATTACTATCAGAGATGGGGAAAATAATTCCTGCATCTAACCATTTGATCACCTCTTTCTTTACAACTTCTTTCATGTTAGGGTTCAGCCTTCGCTAGTGTTCCCTGGAAGGTCTGTGCCCTTCTTCCAAGAGAATCTTATGCATGCAGAAAGCTGGGCTGATACCCTTTATATCTGCCATGGTCCAACCAATGGCCGTCTTGTTATCCTTTAGTACCTGCAAAAGCTGCTCTACCTGCACATCTAGAAAACAAGATGATATAATAATAGGTAATGTCGAATCAGTGCCTAGAAATGCATACCTGAGATGATCTGGGAGTGGTTTCAGCTCCAACTTGGGTGGTTCCTCTATTGATGGCTTGGCTGGAGGAGTGACCCTTTTCTCCAGCTCCAGGGACTCGAACTGAGGTTCCCTTGAACAAAATCCTCAGCCTTCCAATGCCATTACCCATTCAGCTAACCCCTCGCCATCCATTTCGTCTAAGTTTGTCAAGCATGCCTCCAATGGGTCCCCCACAGTCAGGGCCCTATCATCCTCTTGCAGAATTACATCAACTGCTTCCACTAGAGAGCAATTTGCATATACGCTGGGTCTCCTCATTTATTGTTGAACGTTGAATATGACTTCTTCATCATTCAATCTCATTTTAAACTTCCCAGTTTCACAATCTATCAGTGCTCTCCCGGTGGCTAAAAATGGTCTCCCTAAAATAAGGGGTATCTCCTCATCCACCTGACAGTCCAGAATCACAAAGTCTGCAGGGAACACGAACTTCCCCACTTGCACCAGCACATCGTCAAGAATACTTGTAGATCTTTTCACAGTGCGATCAACCAGTTGGAGTAACATCGATGTCGGCCTGGCCCTGCCTATGCCCAATTTGGTGTATATAGCCAGCGGCATCAAATTTATGCTAGCTCCCAAATCACATAATGCCTTTGCAAAGGCATAACTCCTAATAGTGCACGGAATAGTGAAGCTACCTGGATCGGACATCTTTTGGGCTATCGGTTTTGCCACCACTACGCTGCAGGTTTGTGTTAGAGTTACGGTGGATAGATCTTGAAAATCAAACTTCTTTGACATTAAATCTTTCATCATCTTGGCATAACCGGGCATCTCCCTCAAGGCATCCATTAATGGAATATTCAATTGGATTTGACGCTGCATCTCCATAAACTTTTTGTATTGGTCTGCCTTCTTTTTCTTGACCAGTCTCTGAGGAAAGGGTGCAGGGATCACCCTTTGGGCACTACTGGCTGGCTTCTCATTGTTAGGAGTGTCTGGCACAAGAGGTGCCACCTGTTCCGCAACTTGCTCGGTCTCCTATTCTTTGCCTTTACCCTCCTGACTCTGCTCAACCACTACTTCAGTGAGTTCCGCTGGCCGTTCTTCCTCTAATGGCACTGGAGTAGCTGGTGTAGTGTTCTTGTTGGCCCGTGCAATTTCCTGTTCTCAATCTAAATCTCTACCATTCCTTAAACTGACTGCCATTAGCTGATTTGGGTTTTTCTCCTTGGGATTAATGTTTGTGTCTGCAGGTAAAGTTCCTGGAGTGCGGTTGTTCAATGCCATGGACAGCTGACCCAGTTGTGTTTCAATATTCTTGATGGCTGAATCATGGACTGCCAATTTTTCCTGCACTCTGTTATTTGTCCTAATAAGTTGTTGAAGCATAACTCTAATTTCCACCATGTTCTTGTCTTGCTGCTGAGGGGGTGGTTGATAAGCCAATTGTTGCTGATTTTGCTGTGGATAACCCTGTGGTTTCTGATAAGGTACGGGCACTAATTGATTTTGAGGGTGCATACCCCCAGGCTGCTGCATATTAGGCCTGTACTGCTGATTATGTGGCGGTCTCCACTGTTGTGCTCCTTGTCTCTGGCGCCCATAATTGTTGACATAGTTCATATCTTCCTGGACCCCTCGGTTTTCGCCTTCTCCGCTCCATGAACAAACATATGACTGATTAATACATGGTGTACATAATCCTCCATTCATTGTATCAACAATGTGCACCTGTTTTGTACCCATCTCATCAATCTTCTTTGTTAGTAAGCTCATCTGGGTTAGGAGTGTGGCCATGTTTTCTTCCTGCGAATTGTTGAGATCCAATGGAATGGAAGGTATTATGGGAGTTTGTGTTGCACCTCTAGTCATCCACCCTGCATTTTGTGACATCTTGTCTAAGAGAATTTTGCACTCGTTAAATGTTTTGCTTAAGAACGCACCTCCAGCTGAAGCATCCACATTAGCCTTCAAGATATCAGTTAGACCCATGTAGAATCTCTGGCCAAGCATCTGATCTGGAATGCCATGATGAGGAAACTTCACAAGCGTCCCTTTAAATCTCTCCCAAGTTTCCTGCAAGGACTCCGTGGACTGCTGCCTAAATTGTAATATGGCATCAATTTGCTGTGCAGTCTTGTTAGGTGGGTAGAACATGTTCAAGAACTGCTTGACTAATTCCTCCCAAGTGGTGATAGAGTTGATAGGGAGCGAATTTAACCAAGTCTGAGCTGCCCCGGTTACTGAGAATGGGAACAAGAGCAGTTTGATAGCTTCAGGGGTTACATTGGGTTGCCTTTGGGTCATGCAAATTGACAAAAAAAATTTCAAGTGTTGTTGCGGGTCTTCAATGCTTGACCCGGAGAACAATCCCTTATTCTGCAGTAGATACAGCATGTTGTTGGTGATTTGGAATGTCTCCGCTTGAATTGCAGGCACAGCTATGGCAGTGGCCAGATTGTCAGCTATAGGTTGTGCCCAGTCATAAAGTGCAGCCTTTGGCACAAGAGGTGCCACTCCCCTGACTTCCAGGTCAACTTGCTCATTCCTGTTGTTTCCGTTGGCGTTGTTCACGTCACCCATATCAAATTCGGGTTGGTTCGTTGGTTGAGTTTGTTGAAGTCCTTTGTTGGCACGGTTCAATGCCCTGAATATTTTCTCGGGGTCTGAGAGTCCTTCTATTAGTTCTCCAGTCCTCGAAGAATTTCTAGGCATACACCTGCTTCCCACAAGATTTCAACCGTTAGAATTTCAATGTAAAGATTGGTAAAGAGAAAACGGATTACACTTGGAATCTTTGTATTTCTTTCAATTGTAATTGATAACACCGTTAGTTCCCCGGCAACGGCGCCAAAATTTGATCACGCTCAACTAAGTCTCACAAAAGACTATGCGGGCGTTGCAAATATAATCCGAGTATTATTGCCCAGAGTCGAACCACAGGGAACTAACCTATCAATCACTACTGTCAGATTTACTAAATTCACACAATCTGTTTTCCCAAACTTTTTGATTCACAATGGTTGATTTTCTAACAACTAAGATTGAAAGTAATTAACAGCTGAAAATTAACTAACCTTGATGTGTAAACAGTAGAAATAAAGTCTAGGCAATGGTTTCCCCCGTTGGTACTTTACATGGTTGTCTATGTCCTATAATTATGATTTAACTATCTCTAACAATCATGAACTCTCCATATATCATAATTCTTTCTCAAGTAATTATAATAATCTACTAGACGCACTTTCTCAAGCTACGCTAGCTACTTGCACAATACGGTTCACTTAGATTGCACCCGGGATTTCGTTATCTCTAATCCAACCCCTAAACCCTCGGTTATGACTCCCGTCTATACTCCGGGAATGATGTTGTTCATACAATCACCTAAATATGCACTCTCTCAAAAAGATACATAATAAATAGGAACGGATAATTGAGGGCCCTATCAACTATTCCACAATCAAAACATAGATGAACAATTAGAGATTAATAATCAAATCTAATTATATTGATAACACAACCAAGTTATTCCCAACGGGTTCCACCAAAACCTTAGATTAAGGTTTTTAGCTACTCATGACAATGGGAAAATCAAATACTAAAAGATTCATAATCATAAATGGCAAGAAAATAAAGAAGAATAGAAATAATGATGTTTTGGGTGATCTCTCACACTTGTTTTTCTTGCCAAAATACTCTCTAATAATGTTACATGCCTCCTTTGAGTGAGTTCTAGTGTTTAAATAGGGGTTTGGGCTAAGAATTTCGGAATTTGCACTTTAGTCCTTTAAGTTTCTGTCGCCTGCCGCGGTCCTACCGCGCCCACGCTGGGACCGCAGCCAAATGGCCTCTCTGAATCTCCTCTGACAGCTCACCGCGGTTCTACCGCGCCCACGCTGGGACCGCGGCAGTTCACCTCCAGGCCTCGTTTGTGTATTTCAAATGATTCACTTGATGACTTTGATGCGATTGGCTTCTTTTTCTTCCATAAATGATACAAAACCACTCCATAGCCTTATTCTAATGTATGTAACCTGCAAAACATGAAAAGCACTAATAAGAGCATTTTGCTATCACTTTTACAATAAAAACTCTACAAGAAAGTGGTTCTTTTGGGGCTTAATCATAGTTCAATTCACCTATTATTAGTTCTTTTGCACTAGATTTTTTTCTGGCCGGACAGTTTCAAATTATGTTTTTTATTCAGTCACCATTACATCATGCTGATTTATTACTTAGTATTTCTAAAATCTTGATCTTTGATTTAAATGGCTTAGATTGGATTTGGGTGTCCGCAACATCCGATTCCGGCCACGGACATGAGACTAATTTTCTGGCAATTTCTCTTATTTCATCAGTTGATTTATTGTTGCTATTGTTGCTCCATGTTTAGAACTTATTATTTAGCCAATTTTCTGATATTTTATAACGCTCTTATTTTAATAATGAGTTTTTTGGATCTATGTGATTCCGTTATTTTTACCGTCGATTTGAAGTATCATCTTTATATTCGGGCTTGCTTCTTTTTCAACCACACAAATTTTATCATTTTCCCCTTATAAAATCAAAAGTAAAGACAATTATTCAAAATATAAATCCATGTAATGTATCTGTTGAAAATTTAGATAAGTGATACGTGATAAAGTCGTATTTTGAGTAAAAAGCAAATTGACATGAATTATTTACAATTTGTCCCAATTTGATATATGGCTGATCAGTTAAAGCTCTAGGAAAACTAACATTTTATGGCATTATATTTTGGAGGAGTTTTACTGTAATATATAAGGTAGACAACTGAACCTGATATATTTAACGGGCCTTTGTAGCCCCTTCTGAATCGTATATTTTCGCGCTGCCGAACGCTCATGAACCACAAAATCGTCCGATGTTCAAGTAAGTTGTTCGTTAGAGAACCGAAATCCTGTATAAACTCTTTGGTCCAGTAAAAATGAGACGGAAAAACCTCTTTCGAGCTGCTAAAGCTCTTATTACTCAGGAATCAGAACGGTTCAATCCATTGTGCATTTTCGAGGATAAAGGATGGTTAATGGAAGTATAAACAAATTGCCCGAAGACTTGGTATATTGTATACTATTACGATTCCCGGTGAAATCTCTCATGCGATTCAAATGCATATCTCAAGTTTGGTACCATTTCATACAATCCACCACTTTTATAAATCTTCATCTCAACCGCACAACAAGCGTAGAAGACGAATTCATTCTTTTCAAGTACTCCATCAAAGAAGATGCAGAAGAATTTAAAAATGTCTTGTCTTTTCTTTCTGGTCATGATGATGATGCTCTTAACCCTCTTTTTCCAGATGTAGACGTGTCATACATGGCCTCCAATTGTAGTTGTACTTTTTTCCCACTCATCGGTCCTTGTAATGGTTTGATTGCTTTGACAGATTCCATAACCACAATCTTAATTAATCCGGCTACTAGAAATTTCAGATTGCTCCCACCTAGCCCTTTTGGTTGTCCATATGGTTACCATCGTTCTGTTGAAGCGCTTGGGTTTGTCTTCGACTCGATTGCGAATGACTATAAAATTGTTAGGCTTTCTGAAGTGTTTTGGGATCCTCTTAATGATTATCCTGGTCCTAAAGAGAGTAAAGTTGATATATATGATTTGAGCATTGATTCTTGGAGAGAACTGGATTGTGAACAGTTGCCATTGATTGATAGGGTGCCTTGTGCTGAGACATTTTACAAGGAAGCGGTTCATTGGTTTGGAACTATATATTTGACTATGGTGATTCTTTGTTTTGACGTGAGCACTGAGGTTTTTCGTAATATGAAAATGCCTCGTACTTTTATTTTGGACAACGCGCAATTTCCTGGCCTTGTAATCTTAAGCGAGTCTCTAACATTAATATGTTATCCGAACCCAAGCGCTATTGATCATATGCAAAAAGTAACGCACATTTGGGTGATGAAGGAGTATGGAGTAAGCGAGTCTTGGATTTTGAAAGACATAATTAGGCTTCCTCCTATTGAATATCCGTTAGATATTTGGAAGAATAATTTATTGCTGTTTCAAAGCAAAAGCGGACTTTTGATTTCCTATAATCTCAATTCCGATGAAGTAAAGGAACTCAAATTAAATGGTGTTCCTGGAAGTATGAGTGTTAAAGTTTACAAGGAATCCTTAACTTCAATCCCAAGAGGGTTGAAATTATAAAGACGGTTTATTGTTTCAAATTTGATGAATTAGCACCTAAATTTTGACAACTTTTTTTCCCGAAGATTTTAATTATATTGTTTTATAAGGTGGCTTGTTCACTAAATTATGCTAGTTATGACAAAGGCTTGCCATGTCGTATAATTAGAATTCTTCATATTATTTATTTTCACGTGCATCGATAATTCTGTATCCAGTTAAAATTATTAAAAATTACAGCATATTATCAATCTCTTATTTTTTGTAAGTAGATAGGTATCGTAATTATGATATATATATATATTTTCAATATCCACTACAAAAAACATTGCGACTGTCAAATCAGTTGCAAATCGGTTGAAAGTAGTGTTTTTTCGATCGATTTGCGATTGAAAAGTGTCAGTCGAAAAACACATGGTCGAATATATTTGCGATTGAATCAGTCGAAAATTACGACGGATTCAGTCGCAAATCGAAAAATGTGGGGATATTTGAAATTAAGCATTTGCGACTGAATAAGTCGCAAATTTAGGGACTGATTCAGTCGCTGATCAAAGTTAAAAATAAATATAAATAAAAAGTTTCGATTGATTCTGTTGAAAAACTAAAACTAAAATTAATTAATTAATTATTCTGATTGAAACAGTCGTAAATATTGGTTGTTAATTAATTAAAAATATCATAAATTCTCCATTTGCGAGTGATTCCGTCGCAAATATTAATCAAATATTGTTAGAAAATTTCAATATGCGACTCAATCAGTCATAAATATGGGTAAATCATGGTGAAATTTGTGTCGCATTCAGTCGCAAATCTTGGCATTTTTAAGTAGAATCCTGTTGTATCTTTATTACACCATCCGCCAAATAAAACACCTACCAAACACCTAACAATTAACTAAAAACCTAATATAACAATCCAAAATCTAATATCTACTACAAAACGAACAGTAATATTTTATAACAATGCAACCAACTAATGAAACAACCAACTATCAAACAACATAAATTAAATTTGTCTGTAACTTCAACTCTAAAACATTCAAATAGCCTATTCAGATTCAGTCTCCTCCTCAGACTGAGACTCCATTGCAGCTCCTTTCTTGCATTTTCTTTTTAACACTTTCTGGATCAAAGTGTGAGTTGCATGAAATTCTTGCCACATTTGATACCTTTTTTAAAAAGATGAAATGTAACAACATCTTCTCCCAATAACTTAACACACTCGCATTTCACATAAAGGCACCTAATCATTCCATCAATACGAACATCATCAAGTGTCCTTGCCTTAGCAGTAACTCCAGCAACCCCTTCGTTAAATTCATCCCTTAAACCCACACGATTAGGATGATTCCGATTATACATCCATCTACGATGCACAAATGCCATCAACACAGACAAAAAAAAAACTAGAAGTTGATATATTTATTTTATTTAAACTACTTACTAAGTTATATTCTCCTAAAGATAATCTAAATAGTTTAACTATATATTTTACTATAATACTTGTGTGATTTCAATATTAATATGTACATTAAACAAGTGTAAGACAAAAAAGTCCTAAAACATAAAAATTAATCTAATTTATTTCAATTTAGCATATGATAGTGCTCTAATACTTAATTGATTTTATTTTCTTCATTTCGTTTCAATAATAAATGACATAATTAACACATAGATAGGGCATGGAGAAATTTTTCAAAAGAAAAGTCGAAACATAGAAGTATTGGCACTTAAGTTTTTTATTAACTAACATAACTTGAATGTATAAATATTCTAACTCTTTAATATATTTTTCAACTCTAACTATTATAACCTAAATTATACGAGCACTTAAGTTGTTTCTTTAGTTTTTTTTTATATGAACAATTACAATTATTACATTGCAAAAAAAATTTAACAAGTATTTTAACAAGATGTACGAGAGCTAGCAGAAGGAAATTTCTCTTCGAAGTCATTCGTGGTATCAAGACTTCTAGGGATGATGGTGCACATTATTGAAGAAGCAGAGTCCTCGGCTTTGTTATTGTTCTTTGAAAACCTAGTATTCTTTGAGGGAGAAGCCATTAAATGGAAGAAGAAAAGGTTTTTTGCTTGAAGAGAATTAGAGAAAGGTTGAAGAACAGGATGCAAGTCAAATACGGAGAGTTTGGAGAGTTATGAAGTATGAATGAAAGAGGTTGATGCGTATAAGTAAAGGTTTAGGTGGCTAACTTTGTGGCCATGATTAATGATAAGTGGGGAGTTTAACCTATTATTTGCGCTCTTTTACTTGTGGTTTGAGTGAAAAATGCGTGAAGGTACTCCCGAAAACTAATGTAATATGCTCGCTTGCAGGAATTGTTCAAAATGAGCAAAATGAGTCATAATCAACTAATAAAGGAGTCAAAACTTAAACAAAAACCAAGACTGGGCCAAGATATCCGAAATGCAGACGGCGCAAATATTGCACGGTCACGCGCGGTCCGTGCAAAGGGAGATTCGGAGAGTTGTATTTTAAGGCTAAATAACAAATGCGGTCCGTGTCAGAATTACGCGGCCGCAGAAATCCATTACGCGGCCGCGATTGAAATTATACAGTCCGCGAAACTTAGCTCAACCCCGATCCAGATTTGAAGAACGCGAACCGCGGTCAGAATTACGCGACCGTGAAAGCAAGAATGAGACTGCACTCAGAATTGCGCGGCCATACAACCTCCACATGGGTATTTTTTTTCGGAAATTTCAGCTTAGTATAAATTGATCTTTTTTGACATTTTTAGGTCGTGTTATGTATTACCAGAGAACGTGAGACGGCTATATATTTCGTTTTGGCCAATTTGTACTAGAATTATCTTTCAACATTAGATTTTCATCTTTTAACCTACTATTATGAATTTTATCTTCTTTTCATCTTTAATTTATGTTATTTTCATGAGTAGCTAAGCCCATAGCTGGGTTGTGACCCAACCCTAGTGTGGGTATTTGATGGGATTTGATTTTAGGGCTTGAATGTATATGGATTAGTGATATTTAACTTAGTTCTTGCTAGAACTATAGAATTATAGGTTGCAAACACTGATTCATGCCTTTATGACTTAGTCTTTACTTGAGAAAGAGGGACTACGTCTAGGAAAACTAGGTTAACAAGGAATTTCGGTAAATTCAAGAAATTGATAGCCCCAATTAAAGGGTTAAACCTAGAGATAGTAATACCCGACTTGAGCTAATATCACTTGAATTGCATGAATATCAATTTGGACTTGACAAAGCTAAATTGGGCAAAATAACCCAAACTACCGACAGGTATAGAGTGAGTATCCGAGTGTGATGGCTATATTACGATCCCAACTAATCACGAGCTTGACCTAGATTATACTATCCTTTATATATCCACCTAGGTGGAAGACACTACCCTAGTCTCTTTAAACATTTGAAAACCAACAACAAAAATATTGTCTTTACTTTCCATTATTGCAATAATTCGAGTAAAGTTAGAAGTATGAATCAAATACAACATTTGTGGAAGAGTAATTATATTCAAAACCCGTATTTCATAGATATAAATCTAATTCCATTATCAACCCCCCTGTGGATTCGATCCCGATCTAGTCGGGTTAAAACTGCATCGACTACCCTCTCTACTCAATAGTAGTGTAGGCTTGCACACATTCAAGCCCTAAAATCAAATACCCGTCAAATACCTACACTAGAGTTGGGTCACAAACCTAGCTATATGTTTAGGTACTCATGGAAATAACGAAAATTAAAGATGAAAAGAAGATAAAATACATAATACTAGATTAAAAGATGAAAATATAGTATTAAAATATAATTCTAGTACAAAATTTTGAAAACGGAATACACAGCGTCTCACGTGCTCTGCTAATACATAACATGACCTAAAATTTCAAAAAGTTCTATTTTTACTAAGCTGAAATTTTTGGAACGAAATGCCCCTGCGGAGGTTGTGCGGCCACGTAATTCTGAGCGGGGCTGCGTTCCTATTTCCGCGGCCGCATGATTTTGGTCGTGGTCCGCGTTATTCGAGTATTGATCTGGGTTGAACTGAGTTTCGTGGACTGCAGTAGTCAAGGTGATGCCCCCAGTATTCAGGGTTGATTGAAAAAAAATCCTTGAATACTGTTGAGTTCTCTTCAGGTAGCACATAGTTGTTGCCTCGTTAAAATCCTTGCCGGTAAAACTCAATTGGGACAAAATCCGATCTAAGGGAAAAAGAGTGCAACGCGTGCTTTAAAACCTAAGGTCTTCGTGTAAAAAAAGGTGTCTTCGATATACTCGATCGAAGACTTGCAATGAGTTCGTTTTAAATTCAAATGAACAAAAGGAGAAAGTGATACCTTAGCAGTAGTATCGTTTGAGCAGTGATACATTCCAATTGTTCGGCAGTTGTTCGCCTCCCATCGTGCCAAGTTTGTAAGTTCCTTTACCGATGACTTCGATGAGTCGGTACGGTCCTTCCTATTTCGGGCCCAGTTTCCCTTCATTCGGGTCTTGAATATTGAGGGTGACCTTCCGTAGAACTAAGTCCTTGATTCTGAAGTGTCGAAGGTTAGTCCTTCTATTATAATATCTCTCAATTCTTTGTTTCTGTGGGCCATCCGAACAAGTGCAGCTTCTCAATTTTCATCTAATAGCTCGAGGCTAGTATTCCTAACCTCATGGTTTCACTCCTCAGATGCATGTCAAAACATGGCGCTGGGTTCTCCGACCTTGACCGGGATTAAGGCCTCGGAGTCATATACTAAAGAGAATGGAGTAGCCCCCGTGCTGGACTTCGATGTCGTTCAATAAGCCCAAGGGACCTTAGGTAGAACTTCTCTCCATTTTCCCTTTGCAACGTCCAACCTTTTCTTTAAGTTTTGAATGATAGCTTTGTTTGTTGACTCGGCCTGTCCATTCCCAGGTTGGTGGTACGGTGTTGACAAGATACTCTTTATTTTGTGTACTTCGAGGAACTCTGCTACCTTGCTACCGATGAATTGCTTTCCATTGTCACTCACAATCTCGGCAGGTATCCCGAGCCGGCATATGATGTGCTCCCAGATGAAGTCAATAACTTCCTTTTCTCTAACCTTCTCAAAGGCCGTGCTTCCACCCATTTAGAAAAATAATCAGCCAAAAACAAAATGAATTTAGCTTTACCAGGGGCTATTAGTAGAGGGCCGACTATCTCCATTCCCCATTTCATGAAAGGCTATGGGGATAGGACTGAATGTAGTTGCTCTCCAGGCTGATAAATCATT